ATAGGCCCTTTACCTGATATAACACATGGCAGCTCAATCCCTGTTAGGTGGTCCTTTGAGACATGATGGTACAGCTCTTTAAGCTCTGCATATTGGTGATCACAGTGCTGCCAGCAGCATGGGTAGATTAATCCCTGTATAAATCCCATATGCATGTCATTTATAAAGAATCCTTGCATATAATTTATACAAGCAACCTTCTTGCCCCATGGTAGGTGGTGTGCAGTTTGTATGCCACAATGTTGCAGGAATATATGCTGCAAAAGTTAAAGATTGTGATCAACACATGATTCCAATTTTCAGAGATTTAATCAAGCATGTAGAACATCAGAAGATAAATGTTTGCCAAGTGCATAATCATGGTATGGCTGCCATGTAACCTATCATAATGGCCACAAGAACTAGCTTGCCTCTGGTACCATATATAAGCCATCATCTAGAAAGGGCCCAGCAGTGGTACAGGTCGTATAGCGTGAGTGTTCAACAGCTGCATTCTCTAGCACTTGTGTGGTTGCAAACAAGTGAAGTGAAGTGGTCATATGTTAAAACGCTATATGGCAGCTAGTAACATTTGTGTTTACAAGCTGGACTAAGTCAAGCTATAGCCAACTAATACTACTTACAGCCACTGCTATCCATGCAGAGGGCTTCTTATTATGCAGAGAATGGAAGAAGAGATAGAGAATGGAAGAAGAGATAGAGAATAGAAAGACTCACATGGTTGAGAGACATCCATGAGTTGAGTATTGCTGTACAAGTGTCCCATCTACAATGAAGCACACAGAGTGTGTATTGGGCTGTTTCAGTGGCCTGAGGGACAGATATGAAAAGAGTGTTGGTATCTTCTTCACTCATGCACGGTAGTCTTCTGTGCTTGGTGAATCTGTGTTAAGGTGTTGAAGGTTGACAAGAGTGTACAAATTAGGCAATACCTTTCTCGGAACATTGTAATGCTGTCACACACAATATTGATGGCTGACAATATCAACATGCCTGCAAATGTTTGAACGAGCCAAGCTGTAATTGTGATTCCTCTTCCCACAGAGTCATTACATCTACATGTTATATACAGTCATACCTTCCTCTCATTTGCCATATTGTTTCATAATGGACATGTGACTGTGACATTGCTATTCTGTTGCTTCCACTTTTGGGTTACAACCTGTTTTGGTATGCTTACATAAGCACATACTTTGCTTGTTTTCAATTGCACTTTTTGAGTTTAAAGATAGTTTACACAAGTCAAATGAGTGATGTGCATATGTAGACTCGAAATGCTCATTGTTTCCACCTACACATCTCGTTTGTTCCGAGGTGGGAGCTGGGTGCCAAGCCATATACTGTACTTTTACAACCATACTGGATGAAAGTGCCCAAAATGAGTTTTTCCAACAACTCGCCAAAATTGCCATAAATCAAGAGAATATTATTGGTGATGTCTGCGGAAAAGCATTGTGACGTGTGACATCCGGTACAGTCATAAAAGTACAGTATGGAATACTCAACCAGAGATAGTAATGTGCGGGCCGGGCCTCAAAGCCCAGCCCAAAAAGCCTGACCCAAGCCAAGCCTGGCAGTGGGCTCAAAGCCGGGCTTGGAGTGTAGTCAAGCCCAAGCCTGGCCCAAAAGCCCAGGCTTGGATGCACCAAATGTGTTGCCATTCCCTGGGCTCAGAACATGGTAAGAACAACTTTATACATGCATACGAGACAAAACATTGACTTACTGGACTGGGCGGTCCCTGCTAGTGTGACTAGACCCAATTGTGTGCCACCACCTGGCATTCGCTGTGGGTGCCCCTTCGCGAACCTTATCATAACATGGCTTGTAGCGCAGTTGCATGCCCTCTGGAGGCTGCAGTACGGTGGATACATGCAATAGCAACCTATCACATACAAATATGCTCACTTTTGTAGCATATAAATACTTGTCCTAAGCTTGGCAAGCCTGGGCTTAAGCCCACAGCTTGGGCCAGGCTCAGGCTCAGCTTGGGCTCAGGGCTCGGCTTGGTGTCATTACAAGCCCAAGCCAGACTTGCACATCACTAACCAGAGACCTGGCACCTAACACCTGTTAGGTGCTGGCTAGTGATTTGACTGGCTTGGCTTGGCCCAGAAGCTGGTGGCTTTGGCTTGGCTTCACCAGGCTTAGGCTTGCAAAAACTCAAGCCAAGCCACAAGCTGCTGCAAGCCATAAGCCAGTGGCTCGGCATTGGCTTGGGCCATGGCTTGTGTTCTAATTAGGCAGGTGCTGTAGATTGACCTTGTCAACAGTTCCACAGCTGCCACACGTAGACACGCAGTTATGTACAACATTTGAATGGTTTTATTGCATGATATAATGTCCTAAATATATACTCTGAGGTATAATGTGGATGCAGAACTGACGCAAGTGATAGGCTCTAGTGTCAAGATTGCTGTAGGGAATACTTGGGTTGTACTCACCTGTACGTTGGTAGATAGTACTAGCAAGTGGGGTGCAAGTAGTTAAAGTTGTGTATGAGCCCTAGCAGGCAGTGGGATTTTTATATACATGTGGTAGTGTCTCAGGTATTTACTTTATGAAACGCGAACCACGGGCACCTAAGAGCACTGGAGCGCTAGAGTCCAGTGCTCAAACACTGAAGTCCAGTGTTTGGAGAGCGGCGCTTGGGCGCTTCAACACTCCTCCTAACCAAGTGCAGCATATTGCACTTGTTGGTTGATCACCCAATAATGTCATCTTCTGGTCTTTGAACGCTGCGTTCGATGAGGATAATTTCCCCAAGTGTCCTAATACAAAAGGCAAAACGAGGCCTACACCTCCAAAGCCCAGCGACGATGACCATTTTACTGGTCATGGGTTTGATGATGACAATGATAGTGCACCACTTAAAAGGCCTGCACCACGTCTAAATCCTCCTTCTAAAAAGACACCAAGCGGGAAGAACGATGGCCCTACCCCTGTGCCCAAAGGGCAAAGCTCTGGTGCACCTCCACAGCATCGGAAAACCCCGTCTGCTGGCCCATCTGAGCTATGACAAAGCACACGTGTGAGAAAACCGGTCATACAACCAGAAAATGTCTACGGAGATTCACAAACTCCTGTAGATATACAGCGCAATGTTGAAGATGTCTGACAATGGGAACGAGATGTTGGTCTTCAGCCGGATAGCTCTCGAGCTCAACCTCACTTGCAGCAGCTGTTGCCTACTCCCGACATACAGCCTGCTAGCCCAGCGTCATCTGGCAATGAGCCGGACAATTCGCATGCACCTGAGTCTGGCAATTCAAATGCGCCCTCTGATGACCTACTGGCATGTTTATGCCAGGAGGGGGAAGTCGATTTCTTTAACTATATGCTTGCACAAGCAGTTGACCCATATGCACCAAAGTCCAATGTTAAAGAATGGACATATTGTGATATTGCTTGCCTACCCAAGGCAGAGCAGAAAGAATGGAATGACGCCTGCTGCACTGAGCTTGATATGCTTAGAAAGCATGGTGTCTTTAAGCTCGTCGATTGCCACAAAGGCAAACAAGTAGTCAAGAACCAATGGATTTTTGACGTTAAACAAGATGGTTGTAAGAGAGTGTGCTTAGTAGCGTGAGGATACTCTCAAGTTGAGGGAATTGACTACGACAAGATATTCTCTCCAGTCGTGTGTTTTGAGACCGTAAGGTTTATAATTGCTGCACTCAAAGACTTTTACCTCACTGGACTTGATGTGTGCAATGCCTACCTTTATGGCAACTTGGATGAAGAGATCTACATGGATCAACCCAACGGCTTTTCTGCTAAGGGAAAAGAGCACCAAGTGCTTTCCGTTTGCAAAGCTCTCTATGGATTGAAGCAAGCAGGTTTATTCTGGTGGCGCACCCTAAGTAAGTCCATGGCTGAGCTCTGCTTCACACATCTAAAGACTGATGCTGGTGTCTACATTAAATATGATGGAGATGACCAAATCATAGTTGTTGTCTATGTTGATGACACTATATTTGCTGGACCAAATAAAGCCAAGACCCTTCAAGTGAAGAAGCTCTTCATGAAATGCTGGGAGTGTCGTGATCTAGGCAACGTTAAGGAGTTTCTGTGCATGTGCATACAAAGAGTTGGCAGTAAGATCATTATTGATCAAACAGCCTATCTGGACAAGGTACTTGAATGCTGCAGCCAGACAAATGCCAAGCCAGCTAAAACTCCACTTCCCGAGGGTTAGATACCATGAAGGAGCAGTCGACACTGCTCGCTGTAGCTGCTATCAAGTGGTTATTGGCTCGCTCCTTTATATCATGCTTGGAACCAAACCGGATATCACATCCAAGCTTGCGCAACACAGCGCGAATCCCAGTGAAGACCACCTGAATCGCACATTATATATTTGCCGCTATCTTCAGGGCACTTGCGAATACACACTCGAGTATGATGGTGCTTCCGGGCCACCCTTTGGCACATGTTTGGTTAATCATGTGGCAGTAACTACTACGGTGTGCGATGTATTACCTATTAGTAACTGAGCTAGCAACTACGTAGGGCCTGTAGAGCCTCTTCAGCACCTCTTGGCAGTGGTGTGCAAGACAGCGATTGAACGTTCTGGCCAGTGTTTGGATGACATAACATCCAAATGTCAGTGGTCAAATTGATGCATCAGTGTCCTTACCCTTTTTGGGCAGGAGTAGCGGTGAACAGAGCAGTAGAGACAGAAGATCATGCTACAATAGTTGTACAGATGTAAATACAGTGCAAAACTAAGAAAATACAATGCTTTCAACACCTGGATCAAGCTCTGCATGTGTCTGTGAGCTGTCGCCTGATGACAATCCAGAATTCAGAAGCTGATATAACTCAAGCTCATTACCCAAGCCCACCTCGCCTGTCTTCTCACATGCATCCGACCAATATGGGACCTCGAAGTTGAAGAGGTCTACAATGGTGATGCTAAGTCATTGTGGGAAGAGCGCAGTATACTTGTTAGTGAGCTCAGCTGTAGAGACATCGGACTCCTCTTCTTTAGCCATGTGTCACAGCTCCTGCATGAGCTCTTCCGAGCTGATCTCCTCTTCATTGGCTTTGGGCATAGCATCAGGAGCAGATGATGGAGGTGGCGGCAGTGGCAACAAAATGGGCTCAGGGGCTGAGCCGGCATTCTCGGTCACCTGAGCTGTTTGTCGGCAATCTCCTTCGAGCTGAAACTTGAGACGGCGCTGGAGGCCTTGATTACAAAGGTGCTCATCACAAATATGCATCTTCATCTCAGTGAGAGACAGGAGCGTGGTATTGCCCAAGCAATTGCGGAGCTTCGTGAGAATATGCCCAAGAGAACTAAACAGCCTCTTGCATGATGCAGAGTTTGTGCATACGGAAAGTAGGCGGCATGCAAGTTGAATGATGGGACGAACAAGTGCTTCTGGATGCTGTGCAAAATCCCAGACCTGGATCGAATCTGGGCTTGTTTTCTACAAGAGAAATAAGCATAGTTATAAGTAGATATGATGGGGATAACATACCATAGCCTCTGCTGCAAGACAGATAGAATGCTGCCAGCTCTGTATATCTGCAAAGTGTCCACTCTTCATGAGATACTCCTGAACATCCTCGAGTAGGTCAGTAACGGGCACCGGTACAGTGTAGAAGTGCTCCCACAAGCAGGAGAGAAGGGCATAGACACCACCAACGGAGAAGGAGAAGAGTGGCTGGAGTGGCCGGGTCTTGTGAAATGGGTTGAGAATGAGAGCGGCAATGAATGCATCTTGGTCGGCCTTTTTCCAGCGAGCCTCTATTGCGTTGAGCATGCTGGTATGAACAGGCTGATCATTTAATCAGGTAAGTTGCAAATATTGTAGGTGCAAAAGGCCAAATATAAGTAAAATTTGGTCCATGCAAATCTTTTTGGCTTGAGAAATGTTTGCCGCAATAGCAAGCGGCTTCAGGTGACATCACATCCTGCACAACCATGGTTTTAGTATAACGGCGTGAGTGCAGCAACTTTACAGCACAAGAGCTTATCAATTGATTGCAGGCCAGAAGAGTGGATCCTGCACCACAGCCACTATCTGCTTCGCCTTCTCTTGGGCCTTCTCATCTCCGAAGATAACACACCAATCCTTTTCAGGGAGTACAGTATCCAGTGTGATAAGGGCTTCCAATGAAAGGCAAAGATCATAAAGCCAGGCATACGCCAGATAGTGTGCTGTCCAGCGCGTGATTACAGCACGCAGAACACTAAGACCCTCACCGCCATTCAGTGCCGCATGCTTCAGTTTGAGGTGGCGATGCATGAGAGTCTCGCTCCGGATCCAGGTGATGATCTCATCGGCAAGCTTGGAGTATCAAATATACCAGGTGCCTGTGGTCTTGAAGTAGGTACCAACAATGAGATTAATCTATGGTAACAGTCAGTGAACTGCATTGCATCAAAAGGTTAAAATTACCTGATGTGAGTAGCAGTCTAGAAAAATTATATCCTTGCGTGCGCGAAGCAGTTTGCACCATGCCTTGGCACCATCGGGCCTAGCATCTGAACATGCACCAACAACTTCAACCTTCCAGTAAGTCTCCACTATATATAAAACCTTCTCAACAAGCTGGAAAAGCCTGTCGCCAGACTTCCGGTCAGCCGAAACATTATACACCTTGACCGAGTACACCTGCAGATCATATCAGAGATATTAAAATATGAAACGACACCCGCAATCAGAGAACAAGATGATGCACCTGGCTAGCCAAGCTTAGCATGAATGCATCATAGTGATGTTGATTCACGGCTGTCCAGCTGTCAAACTGTAAGGTATCATTTTGATGATTGAGGCCAGCGATCACTCTGTCTCTTTCAGCACGAAGATCTGCGAGAGTTTGGGGAAGGATCCGGCGTGTGAGAGTATAGCGTGTAGGCACAATGGTGGCGATGTAAACAAACTCCTGCATAAATAAAAGGACCTCTGGATTAGTTAGCCAAGTGAGAGGAAAGCCACAGGATGCTGTGATGCACATGAGCCATTGCTCAAAACGCTTTTGCTGCGAAGCCATCCACTGCTGTAGTGTAAGTGGATATTGAGCAGTGGTGTCCGAGAGATCTATGTATGAAGCTGATGGTCAGCGAGAAAGCGAAGGAGCGATGCTTGATGTAGAGTAGGAATAGTTTGACACCAAAGGGGATACTGAGCAGGACGGTGGCAGAGGTATGTGGGCAGCAAATGAAGCAGTGGATGGGGGACATGATAACAATGCTGAACTCGGGCTGGGAAGCATTGATGGAGGTGCTGACAAGAAGGGGCTGATGGTGCGGAGATCTGGATAATGAGAGAGGTGAGATCCTGATACCGGAAGCAACAGCACAGCAAACTGGAGAAGGCGGGATGGACCAGCAAGTGGAGCTGTAGCTGATGCATTAGGTGTGGTATGCTGAAGGTTGTACCCTGGCCATTGTGCAGCTACCTGCAGCGGTCCGAGAAGCTGCTGTGCACTGGAGGCTCCCAACTGTGTTAGCTTTTCCAGCTTCCACCGCTGTTTCTCATTGTGCGCTTTCTCTGCGCGATCTTGCACATGGGGCGGCTGCCCTTTGCAGAAGCGCAGGTGGTTCTCCATCGTTTCAGCATGTCTGGCTATCCAGCTGTGATCTTCGCTGTTCGAAATATCCCAGTCTGTGACAAATAACATTGCATAAAGTTTAGCATAACTTCAGAATGCGACCCTTTAACTCACATGTACGTGCAATAAGCTTGCGGGGCTTTGGCTGAGCTAGAGTTCCAGCCATGAGCCATCCCTTGTCCAGCTTTTCCTCGTTCTCCACTAAGTTGCCCAAGCAACATTTGCAGAATGCCTTGGGCTTTGTGCCATATACGGATTTGAGCAGTGGGGGGCGTCTCGAGCCATAGTTGGGGTGTTTATAGAAGAACTGCCAGGTCCAGTCTTCAGGCTTGCCAGGCTTTCCAGCTCATGCTGAAGTTTGCTTGGAATCCATGACAGGTGAGGAGGGGGCTTATTTGTGATCTTGATATTATTCACAGCTCTCTCAAGCTTTATATTCCTTCACCACAGATGGCACAAAGGGGGCACAGGCTCACAGCAGGATCTCAGACCTGAGTCAGCCTATAGCCCACCTCTCCTGTGTGTAACAAGCTTTCCGTGCAGCTTGCTCATATAGTGGAGCATATGAGTATTGCGCATTTCGCATTTTCTCAATATTAAACCACTGCTCTCCGCACTGTCTTCATTGCAAAGCAAACATTCTTTGTATTCAGCAGAGAGGCAGTGACAAGCCACAGTTCTTCTAAAATGGTAACAGTGATCTCCGAGAGGCTCTGATTGGTTACTAATTGGTTGTCAGGCCGTGGAAATAGCGGACTACTTTGATTGACCACTGTCTAATCAGTGTTTTATCATTTGGTCGTCGGTCTGTCCAAATATTTGGACGGTTGTCTGCACATCACTGCCTTTTGGCATGCTATATATGGTGTTTCCATCAACTGGGATTGAAATATAGACCACATTTGGGAGATATGCCATAACATACCGCTTTGGGCGCTTGTTTTCATTTTATAACATGGGAAGGTGGAGAACATATGTCAGAAACCAATACTGAGCCTGCTATTCACAAAATACTCGCCGAGAGTCGAGTTTTTGCGGATTTAGCGCGAACTTAAGCCCCATCAGCTCCATCAAGTGCCACCAAGCTGCTACCCGGCTATCTGGCTCCTTACATCAATTTTGCTTTTGGGGGCCATTCTTAGCTCAATTCCTCCCCTCCCCTTTGTCCAATAAACTCAAAACCTTCTAGCATATGTACCTGTACCTATTTAGAGTAGTTATGTGCAGTTTAGAGTGAATATAACTGCTGTATAATATACTATACTTTTGTTTCTATCAAAAATCGATTTCTTTGGGCCTGGAAGTAGCAGGAAACACTTTGCAAAGCTCCTACAGCTCTTCTAATGTTATACAATTATGATAGATGGCATTAGAGCCCTTCCCAAGAGTGTGGGGAGCCTGAGGCAATCACAAACTCTCTGTAGAGCCTGCGAGGCTTGGCAAATAAAATGACACATATCAGATGTTTTCATATGCTGTAAGGTGTCACTTTTAGCCCAGGATAGGACGGCTATGGTTTATTTTCGATCCCAGGCCTTGGAAGCCGTCCGATTAAGCAGATCTTAGTGTTTTCTATGGGCGCCTATTCGCTGATCTCGTCGAAAACACCTCCTACTGGCTCAACCACTTAGAATTGGACGAGCGGACCGTTTCTATTCGATTCCCAGCCTATGAAAACGGGGGTATACAACTTTATAGGTTCAGGGGACATGTATTGGTGGAGCAGTGCATCAGTTAACCCCGGAGTGACACCTTGATCAAGTTCTGACCAGTTCAAAACCACCATCTGTGCACAGGTGTGTGCCTGGCTCCTACAGCATATGTGGGAAGGGGATCACCACCTGGAAGGGTTAGAATATGTCTGAATACTATGTATGTAGCTGCATTTAGCTTATCTCTACCTGTAAGCTTCTGTACATCTGCATATGTGGTGTTTTTAAGCCCTGTTTGCATACCCATGTTGTTGAGTGTAGTTTAGCCCTTTCCCAGTGTGATAGGGCTCCACAGAGTTGTATATATTATCTGCTAGTACTAGGGCACTTGCACAACCATTTGTACCTAGCTACATTCATTACTAAAGGCTGAGAACAGTGGCCAAGCTATCATGAGTGCAATAAGGGTTCTGACCTCCTGCCTGCATCTCTGCATGTTATCCTGGCCTCTAAATTGCTTCCCCATGCTTGCAT